TAAGATTCCACCTCACCCCTGTTAGAATAGCCATCATCAGCAACACCACTAACAACAGGTGTTGGTGAGGATGCGGGGAAAAAGGAACCCTCTTACACTGTTGGTGGGAATGTAAACTAGTACAACCACTCTGGAAAAAAAATTGGAGGCTACTTAAAAAGCTAGACATCAATCTACCATTTGATCCAGCAATACCACTCTTGGGGATATACCCAAAACACTGTGACACAGGTTACTTCAGAGGCACCTGCACACCCATGTTTATTGCAGCACTATTCACAATAGCCAAGTTATGGAAACAGCCAAGATGCCCCACTACTGACGAATGGATTAAGAAAATGTGGTATTTACACACAATGGAATTTTATGCAGCCATGAAGAAGAATGAAATCTTATCATTCACAAGTAAATGGATGGAAATGGCGAACCTCATTCTGAGTGAGGTTAGCCTGACCCAAAAGACCAAAAATCATATGTTCTCCCTCATATGTGGACATTAGATCAAGGGCAAACACAACAAGGGGATTGGACTTTGATCACATGATAAAGCAAGAGCACACTAGGGAGGTATGAGGATAGGTAAGACACCCAAAAAACTAGATAGCATTTGTTGCCCTCAATGCAGAGAAACTAAAGCAGATACTTTAAAGTGACAGAGGCCAATAGGAGAAGGGGACCAGGAACTAGAGAAAAGGTTAGTTCAAGAAGAATTAACTTAGAAGGTAACACACATGCACAGGAAATCAATTCGAGTCAACTCCCTGTATAGCTATCCTTATCTCAACTAGCAAAAACCCTTGGTCCTTCCTATTATTGCTTATACTCTCTCTTCAACAAAATTAGAGATAAGGGCAAAATAGTTTTTGCTGGGTAGCAAGGGGGTGGGAGGGAGAGGAAGGGGGCGGAGGGTAAGGGAGGGGGTGGGGGAAGGGGGGAGAAATGACCCAAACATTGTATGCACATATGAGTAAAAGAAAAAAAAATAAAAATAAAGAATGTGCTGGTTGTCATACAAGGCTGAGTTTCTTTTTAAAATCCTTAATATGATAAATGTATTATCATTCATTTGTCATTTTTATAGACTTCATGGATCTCGACCTATACATCTTTGTGAAGTGAAAACATATACTATTAATTCAGCACCCAACATTTACACTGCTGGATGCTACTAGGTAAGATACAAAAAGAGTGTTCTGTGGTTAAATGCTTTAGTACTAGAGAGTGATATGCATTTAACCAGGTTCCTTTCTTAGGATTTCTCAAAGCTGTAATATGTTCATGTGCACTGTGATTCTCCGAAGGGCACTAGTGCATGCAGAGTTTCTCAAAATCACTTAACCAGGGAGTCCTTTTACTGGGGAAATACTGCTGCAGCCATTGCACATTTGGTGAGCACTGTGATGTCTTTTTAGTACTCTTCCAACGAGTGCATCGAGACATCAGTTTTCAGAATGTTTCCACAGGTGGTGGTGAATTCCCTGCACTTTTTATCTTGAGTTGTATCTCTACATTTAGAGATTCTCCTGTGGGGTTGTACTCTATGTTCTTACAGGGACCTATTAATCCCCCTGCCAGGTCCCATTACTATCATTGCAACCACTTGCTCATCACTGGGTTTATCCATTAGATTAGGAACACCTCAGGGCAGGGACTATTCCTTCTCTGTTTTTAGCAACTTGAACAGTGTCTCACACACTCCAGGCATTTAGATAATGTAATCGCCATGAATTTTCAAATCAAGGCAGAATGCTGATCCATAGTTAACATCTCCCATTAATCATAAAGTGCTTTACAGCTTTTAAATATCATTAATGTATCATTGACATTTTGGGGATCCAACACACATTTTGCTTTGTACTAAGGAGAATTTTACACATCATTGACAATATAAACCTGTATATGGAGATGGGAAGATGAGACCGGGACACACAAGGACCTCATGAGACAAGAATGTGGGTACGGGAATCATGAGCAACATGTGTGGGATCAGAGCTTGCCCACAGGGTAAAGACAGCTTCTGATATCCATAGAGTATAATGTGCAAGACTATTCTGGATTTTGATAAAAGCTCACTTGAACTAGAGTTATACTAGAATGATTTTAATTCTTCCCAACAAATATAGCAGTGTCATCTTATTTTATCTAAATCAAAAGAAAAAGATAAAAATAATTGGAGCAAAGATTTAAAAATCAGTATTTTAATGTTTCTGAAAAATGGTCTTAAAATAATAACAGGAATTAATTGTAACTATACTCCATAGCATATACTCCTGGGAACTTACTCATTTCATTAGTGTAATGGTTAATTCTATATGTCAACATGACTGGACTAAGGGATGCCCACATAGCTGGTAAAATACTATTCCTGGGTGTGTCTGCTTGGTTCTGGAAGGGATTAATATTTGAATTATTAGATTGAATAAAGAAGACCACCTTCACATATGTGGGTAAGCATTTACTAATACACTGAAGACTGGAATAGAATATTAAAGAGGAGGAAGGACAGATCTGATCTTTCTGCTTGAGATGGGAAATCCATCTTCTAGTTTCTTCAGATATTGGTGCTTCTACTCCTTGGGCCTTTGGAATCAGACTGGAACTAGCACCATTGGCTCTCTTGGTTTTCAGACTTGTAAGTATGGACTATACCCACACAATCTTGCAGACAGCATATGGTGGAATTTCTCAGCCTCCATAATTGTGAGCCAACCTTTCAAAATAAATTTTTTTCTACCTAGCTCTCTCTATATAGTTTTCTTCTGTTTCTCAGCAGATCCCCAACTAATACAATTACAAATTCAACATTTGTGATTTCTGGACTGAGGCCAGAGTGAGGCTGAATACAAGTCATCAGTTTACTTCTCCTAATTACTCATATGCAAAATTCAAAACAGTATCAACAAATAAGCTGTCTGTAAAAGAGTATGTGAAAATATGGATACATGTTGACAGCAAAGATTCTAAAATCTCACAATGTGAAGGGTTCCAAAATAAGAGAGTAATACCAAGTTTGAAAGTTTAGGCAAATTGAAAACAAATTGCATGTTTCCAAGCAGCCGCTAGGGAGGGGCACAACATCACATGTGCCCTACTCATTTGGGAAAAGTGAAAAGCCTCCTCTTCTTTTAACAATTCCATTCAAATAAACCTTGTGAGTTTAGAATAGTCCCCTCAGTTCATTTTTCATCTAGAATTTCTCCCTCCCTCCTCCCCCCTTTTCTCTTTTTTCTTTTCCCTAATTTGACCTTTAGATTTTGGGCATGAATATTTCAACTTTTTCTGTGGGTCTTTTCTAAAATTGGATTGCTATCCTGGGCTGGAGGGGCTGATGTTCTTGACCTGTGTTTTAGGGAGTTTTGAAGGGGGTGCTTCCTTCCCATTTCATCCAGGTGGTAGATGTGAGGTCCAAGGAACTGGATATTTCAGTATCTTGGCCTTAAGTTCTCTATATTGCCTACTTTAAAATTTATATGGTGGAACCTAATGGCTCCAATCATTACCCTCTGTGAAGCTACACCTTTGGTCCTGTGACTTTGCAGTTACTCTCACTTACTATGGTAGAATCTATTTCTCATTCTTAGTCTTGTCCTATTTCTTTTAACCAACAGAATTTGACTGAAGTAAGAATGTGTCTGTTCTTAGCAATCCCATATCTCTGCTATTACATGAGAGCACACTCAGGAGAGGGCTGCTCATGGCTGAGGAAAATCAGCTAAGTTTCCTCAGTCATCCTAGGCTGCCCATCCCATACCACTCAATAGCCAGGAAACCCTGGACATGGGGGCAAGCCAGCCACCAGGGCATAACCTTGAGGTGATCCAAACTCATCCCAAATGTGTCAATAAACCCAGCTGAGACCACAAGAGTCCTTCCTGAGCTAGGTGGAGCACATATCCCATGAGCTAAATCAATGCTTACTACTGAGGTTTCACAGCTGCCAGGCAACACTATTGTGATAGAGAACTGAAACTGTAGGTATTGAATATACTGTAATTATGATTTTTGTCTCCTGGCCTCCAGAGCAGGTTTCTTCAAAAACACAAGCTGACAGTAGATGTCAATGAAGATTGGGACCTTACCTATAGGTATAAGCAGTTGTGTTAGTGGTGAGTGTATTTTCATTAAGCTCTCAACTAATGAAATTGGAAAGGCCTCTGGAAAAGTTGGTCTATTTCATTAGAAACAGTGTGTGTGTATGTGTGTATGTGTGTATCCAAGAGCAAACTACGTGCTTTAAAATATATATGTGATTTCAGTGATGTATATCAAGCTAAGGCTTAGTGTAAACACAAAACTTTAAAAATTTGTTCTTCCATTTCTCAAAATATTTACATACTATTATATTTTGAATTAGTATACATTAATAATACATGGGGGTTTCCTTGTGGTAATTCCATACCTATGTACAGTATACTTTAAACAAGTTCACTGCCTCCATTCTGTTCCCATTCTTATTTCTCACTTCCATTTTTAACTATCTACTCAGTAATTTGCTGGAAAACAATTGTTTAAAATGTTAGTTCACCAGACTGTATCAGCTTTCTTTTTAAACAAACTATATTTGGGGGGATTTTTCTGTTTCATACAGGAGTTTTAATTTTTGAATTAAGTAACATGATTTTTGACACTACTTTCCATTGGATCACTTCAAAAATTGATCAAATCTGCTGCCAGAATGGTTAAATTCCAGTGCACAGATGAAAAATACAAGAATTTAGCACCTCAAGCTAAAAGTGGATTCAAGAGAGTAGTCAACTAAATACCAACAATATCTCATTATAAAAGTAAAGACTTAACAGACTTTATGCATATAGTCTTGACATTCAACATTTTTCCTAATCAATAAACTTTCAATCTATATAGGAAACAGAATTATATAATTTTATATACAAGAAAGAGAATAAGAAAGAGATAATGAGAGCAAAAGATGACTGGATTAGTATGTAGGAGAGAAATTTCCAGAAAATAGGTAGATTTGAGGATATGCTCTTTCTCTAGTTTATTTTCATCCGTGTACATTCAAGGACAGAGTCCATTGGTCACAGCTGAAAAATATCAAAGTCATTTTGTGTTAAAATTACTTTTATTCAGGATGAAAAATACAACATGTAACCAGATTAGATGACAGTCTATGATTAGTTCTTTACCACATATTTCAAAAGAACAATATACTTATTTCCCATTGTTGTTAGTGTAATATATGCCTTTATTATTACTTAGAGGGTTACAATGTAGTGTTTTATGTAGCTTTATTGAAACAGCAGAAAGAGAATAGTTTGCATACAAATACAGGCAAATAACAATTAATACATGACTTTTCAAAGTAAGAACGAGGAAGACAACAAAGCTACAACTTGGAGTTCTGAGTTTAGGGAATTTTGTTTCCTTAAATAGGTACTTTTCTTGGGTATGGTATGGCCTGATGAAAACTCTAGGCTTTGCAAACTTCAGTGGCATAAAGCTATTTCCAACACGACAGAGGAAGATGGGTCTGAGGTAGAGAGGTGGTCATGGCTTTCTTCTTATATAAAACAATTTTCTTCTCAAAATATCTATGCTGCAAATAGACTCCCTTGCCCCCCAACCCACCCAACCTATCCTAAAAGAATAGCAATTTCTAACTTTAAGCCTCCTTCTGTCCAGATCCAAATGAAAGAGAGCCCACAGTTAAAATATCCTGATGTTTTAATATGTTTGAATCAAAACATATTATTTTCACTTTTATTTTTGGTTTCTCTACATTTGGTAATTAAATAACATGTTTACAATGAATCAATTAAATGTTAAGTAACAAATGGAACTAAACACCTAATTGAATGCACTCAGGGGTTGAGGTACAATCATCAAAGCACTAATTTCATTCTTCTGAAGAAGCAGCCATATAGGCTTTTGATAAACATCTTTCCTAGATGTGTTGACCAAGTGAAGGTAATAAGACATCTGTCCACTTACCCAAAAGGTAAAATGAGACATGCACTAAATCAGAGTCTGCTTTTAGAAAGAAAACAACTGGGAGTTTTAATAATTATAAGGGACTTAAAAATCCAAAAACAACCATAAAATTCTCTTCAAAGGGAATGAAAGACGATGATGTGTTCTGGTATGACAACAGGTCTGATGTGCATTTAATAATGAAAATCAAAGCCTGAGAACTAGGATTGTACCTAGTTTTGTTTGGTACAAAAATTGTACCAAGTTTTGTTTCTGTGTCAAAATGAAAATATGCATAAATGGACCACCTTTGGAAAATGATCTTTGAGATTATTAGAATTCAGTCTTCTCTATCATATAGATAGGGATAAGAAATAAATAAAGAGATCAAGATCTACTTATAGAGAGAAAGGAAAAAAAAGGAAAACAATCCCAACAGACATGCCATTTAGGCCCACAGGATTTTTATTGTGGTTATCCAAGTGGTCACTAACAAAATAAGTATATAATGTCAAATAAAGTTAAACAGAATACTCAGGGCTGTCACTTAATCCATATATATATATATAATATTTGATTCAAATATATGAACTTATTCATTTGGGCAAATCATGAACACAAGTACACGGAATCTGCTTGGTCATATGGTTGATGACTTATAAATAACCAAAATGCAATGGTAAAAGAGGTAAAGAAATAAATGAGATTATTATACAAGATTAATATGAACAGCAGAAGGAATGTAAAAATGTAAAGTGGTCTTCTAATTCATATGCAATTTTTGTCACCATTATTAAAAAGACATTATCATATTAGAAAGCCCCCACCCACTTTCCCAAAGCTGTATACATTATACAAATCAGTGACAAATGTATAACCATTTCCAAATACCTCTCTGTTCATTAATTTACAGTTGCATAGAAAGGGAAGAAGAAAACAATAATATATGGTTATTATAAAAACAAAATATCCTTTTCTCTTTGGATAGTCAGTGTTTTACTCCCTCAGTAGAACACACAGTCAATACTCAACAACATGTGTCAAGGAGCCATGGAGTTTCAGATTAAATGGAACTTGGAATTAGCATTTGCACAGAAGGGCAACACTGTGAGACAGGAAATGTTGGTTGGCTAGATGAACACTTCACATTGCCTGTGGGAAGGGAAAATAGATCTGTCAAAACATTTCCATAAAGCATCACAGGTAGCAGACTGTCAACTCTTCAAGGAAATAGAAGTGTATCTTTCAGAACTAGTGAAACCTTATTTTGCTGTCTTCAGAGGGAACTAATACCCTCTGAACTGTTACTTTTGTTCCCTGGGATAAGATTCTTCCCTATCATGTGGAAGTCACCATTTTATTACCACAGCCAACATAGAAGAAAGTCTTGACTTTTTTTTTCTTTCTTTCTCGGGCTAGAAACCAAGTTAAAATTGAGAGGACTTTCCCTCTTTCTGTGGAAAGTACCAATGGTGAGTGTGTAAGGCAGGTACAATCACCTTGTCCCTACCTGGGGGACCATGAGAGGTCTCCTGTAAAGGAACACCTGACAATTCCAACCTCTCAGTGTCAAGCTGGGGTCAAGAAAGGGGGAAGAGAAGACAGGAATCCTAATCCAAGGTTTTGCAGAGGGTTCTATTAAATTTAAATGTTCCAGGCAAGAGGCTCTAGATCCAATCAATCTTCCCAAGGGAAGGTCAAGCAGAGGTCTTTTAAAAGCATTTTGAATTTAGAAATACTTATTTTTAAATCACTCTGAAATAAAATCATCCAAATGGGGCCATGCCTCATAAATCCTGAGGGGCCTTTCAGGACTTCAGCAAAGACACCCCTGTCCTTGTCCTTGCCCTTTATTTATGAAGGACATTGGCATGAAGTTCTGGAACTACAGATTCTAAAGCAGTCTATGGAAAAGCTACCCAGGGCTCTGCTCCTTCCAGCTTTACCGAAAGCAGAAAGTACATCACTCTTGTCTACAAGCCTATGCTCCACTAAACCTGTGTCTATATTTTGAACATTTCATTGCCATGTTGGCATGAGTAAAAATTCAGCGAACATTGATGGTGTGTTCCAGATTCCTGGTTTTCCTTTCCCCCCTCACATTCTGTTCCATATGGAGATCTACACACCCCCTAGTGTGTCCCCATGTTCCATCCTCACTATGCCTTCTCTTGTGCCTTTTAGACCCTGTGGTCCATCACAGATAAAAACCACATCCAACTCTTCCTGGAATGCTTCCTGCCCTGCTTTCTCTAATCAACATGTGCCTGTCCCTGAAGACAGCTTCTCCCATAACCATTCAAGTTGCATGTGACTTTTTCCCACAATCCTCTTCTAGGCATCTTGGAAACTCAGGTTAGCTTTTTTTCTCTTCTCTCTAAAAATACTAATTTGCATGTCACACCATCAGACTAAACAGCCCATTATGCAGTCATGCGCCAACCATCTAAGTCACGTTCTCTCACTTACAGAAAAACAAATGTCTCAATGTCATTCACCTTAAAGTTATTTTAAGTCTTAGTTATTTCATCCCCCACAGAGATGACTCTGACTCTGCCAACATTCTGATCTCTCAGTTCTTTGAGTTTCTCTCTTAGTGATCCTGTCCTCTACCCTTCTCAATCATTTGTCTAAAATATACATGATTACCAGCACTTACAGCTCCTCCTACATTTCAATTTCAATCATTCAACCTCTGACAACCACTTCTAACTTATCAGCCTGCTTCTGATAGGGTAGAACCACATCCATCTTTGATACTGCAATTGAGAGGTACTTGCCTCTTTTCTTTTTTTGCCTCCTATACCAGATGTGTCCTCACTTCTCTCACCATTGAGCTTAAGGTCCCAATTCAATCACCATAATCACTTTTTTGCCTCTTCTCTTGACTTGCACTTAAGTGGGAAACCATAACTTCAAGTTTTTTTTAATTATTAAATGCAAAACTCAGTCAACTCTGATTGGTGCTTGTGCTTATGAACTTGAATGTGGCCAGAGGTCTATACACAAGGCTGACCTCCTGTTAAATTCATCACTGGCACATTAAGTGATACACTTTAATGGGGAATGTGTGCCTCTGTTCTCCAAGCACATCCTGCAGTCTCTCCTTACACCTCTGCCATCTTCTGCCTTACCTCATTGCCTTCTAAAGTCTTGGCTTCCAATTCACTAAAACAGCAGAAGCAATCAGAAGACACCTAGCTCTCCCCATTGCATCACTAGTCTACTTCACAATCCCTTGTTTTCTAGCTAAGATTTCAGATCCTCTTGCCAAAAAGGCAATCAAAACGGTCACCATTTCAAAAAGACTAATCAACACATTCATGGAAGAAAATGTTCTCCAAAGAAAATGTGGACCTGAAGCACATTAATACTAAGAGTTCCTAATAAGGAAAATACTGGAAGGCTTAAGGCTATAACTACTAACAGATCTCAACAAATTTTTTAAATGAAAAATTGAAATTTTCCCCTCCAAATAACAATCTTTGTATCACCACTGTGGTATCAGACAGTTTTTTAAAGTCAGTATCTGTGACAGCTACCATAAAAAGACAATGGGAGATAAGCGATTGACCAGATCTACCCAATGTGACTTTATATAGTGCATAACATGACATTAGGACAAAGAGGATCAAATACAGGTATTTTTGCTATCCAGAAGAATCTGGTTTGGGAGTACAACTCCCCTCCTAAATCACTCCTCTCCAGATTGAAAAACTGTTACACAGAATCAACTAACATTTAAATGACAAGCAAGTTGACTTATTTACACGGAAAATGAAGTAAGACTAAAATCAATGGTTGCTAATCTGCTTACTGTAAATTGGGATCATCAACAATTGAGCCAACCAAGCTGTTAACTCTTACCTGTGGCCTGCTGGGGACATTTGCTGAAAAAGAAAACAGAAGAAATCAATTGAAGGCCCTGTTGTTGCTGTGTTGCTTTCTGCTTTTATGCATGCAAAATGCGAATGTATCACTCAGGGTGGGATAATAGATGCTAACATGAAAAACATGAGGCTAGTAAATAGATGCTAACATGAAAAACATGAGGACCAGGCTCCCCCAACCCCTGGCTAAATACCTTCACAGAGGATAGTTTTCACCTAGTCAGTTTCTTATATCCCATGTGATTTAAAGTATAAAAATCCCACCAAAAATATGTAAAGCATATGCTAGATCTTTCAAATAAACATGCACTAAAGCATTCAGTGAATACTTGGCTTTGCAAAAAAATCTCAAAACTTCCTATTTAAATTGTGCCATGTATTTGGTTTATGTATCAGAACCAGTAAATTCTATATACTTTGCTGAATAATTCAAAGTCTGATCAAGGGTTCTTGGGAACACAAAGTCTTTAGTTTGTGCCACCCTTGCCAAGAAGTTGTGGGAAGGTGGTGGCTGTATGCTTGGGCCAGCTTACTCCTTGCAGCCTGTGGACACGGGTAGTAATACTGCCTCAGAAGGGCCCAATAAAGAGCACCGGAGACATTAATTAGCCTTCATCCAGGTTGTTCAGTCTGATCTGCTGGGCTTTGTGAAGGCAACCACGACTAAATTCCTTCTTCAAAGTCTCTGCTTTTCCATCCCCCTCTCTCTGCACAATCATACTCAACACAGAGAGAGAAAGGAGAAGCTGTACTCCCCAGTCATGGCAACATCTATCCTTGGTCAAATAAGACCTGTCCCTAATCATCTAGCATATTGACCACCTTCCATCACCCATTTTTCTATGCTCAGGGTTGGGGGAAAGACGCCCACCCAGGGTGCCAACGGCTCTGTGAGGAGGTTGAAAAAAAAAAGAAGAAGAAGAAAGCAGAAGAGCCATCTCTATGAAGTCTAGCGGGAAAGTGTGAGTCCTAGTATTTGGGGAAGGAATCAGACTACAGCAAGCCTAGTCCTACCAGATGTGTAACTTATATCAGAGAAAAAAGAGTGAACTTCCACTAGTATGTGAGCTACAACCCAGGGATAGCTGACTTGAATTATTATTAAGTACATGTTATGTTTACACACCCTTAAAGATTAGTTTTACTTCTCTTGTAAGTAATAAATATAACAAATATTAGACAGAAGTCTAATCTACTTTGCTTCAAATCAATACTTTTAACCCTATAACTTTTCATCAAACAAAAGGCTATGGGTACTCCCCTGGATGAATCTTACAAACGTATTTTAAAAGGAAATTGGAAAATCATTGCATTTTAGTAGATTTTGAATTTTTGGTGAACGTCATTTGAGTTTAACAAACATGGACAATTCACTGTGGAAATATGCTGGTGGGTTAATGATGAATTTAAAAGTACTTGTTGGTCTGTCAGCAACAATTACTCAGCTTCTTACCAGTATCCTGTACATTTGTAGGACATAACTGATAACAAGTGACAAAATATATTATACTAAAAAAGAAACAGTTACAGAAGTCAGTGGAAATTTTAGTACATATACTGGTTAATTGGCAACACAATTAAATTCCCTTCATTAACTCTTTGCCAGGAAGAGATGGCAATGCCTGCCTCTCTTCTCTGAAAGTCAACATCATTTTAAAAAGATTTTAAAAGGCCATAATTCAAGGATACTATGAGGATCAACTGGGAGATTAATTCAAGATGCAAGAATTCTAAAGTGTTAGATGCAACACTATGTGGATACAGTTTTTAAAAATGTCATGCTGAAGTAAGTAATTCATGCAATTAGAATTTATGGATACAGAGTTTCATTTTTATTCCAGGACTGCCAGAAGTGGAAATTAATTTGTGGCCATGCTAATTTTTAATCCACAAAGGATCAAAAGTCAAGATTAACATGCAGATCAATTCATTGTATGTTGGTGACAAGTGATTTAAAAGTTCTCATTAGTTACAGAGGCTCAAGAGACTGGTGTGGCATTCGGAGGATGCCAACTGGTTTGTTTAGATAAATTCTCCAAAGGTGATTACTAAGTGTTGGGAATTGTGAAGTCTTATTAGAATATTTGCTAGCTGAGCAACTTACAAGAAGCACTAAAGCAAATGAATCCTACAGAACCTTCTGGTACTACCTGGGAAAACTTCAACAACTAAACCTTTCCAGTTAGAAACATAATTATTCACTCATTTATTCTTCAATTCAGAATATGTATTTGGCATCAAGTCTATGCCATGAGCTGACTGCTTCTGTATTACTTTGTAAAAGATTTAATAACTGTAAGCAGAATTGTAAATAACTCTTAATTTTGAAAATCAGTCATTTAAAGTCTATTTTTTTATGGAAAGCTGTCTCTTTCTTGGAGAGTTTTATATTATCAAAGGAGAATATGAATATAAATCCCCAAAAGAGTAAACTAAACTCAAACTAATGGCATAATCTTCAGTCATCAAAAAAACAAAAACACTACATTTCACAGGATTCCAAACTACCGCATTCATCATTTCCTACATGAGAAGGACTTGGAGTCTTCAAAATAACACATGATTAGTAATGCTCATTTGCAGAAAACAAGTATCACAAACATTTGTAGATGTGCAAATGTAAGGAAAACATGGAGCCAGCTTCCCATTAAGGAACCTCAGGTCTCCATCAGTTACCTCTAAACACTGAGGTGACCCAGGTAAAGAGGCCCCAATACAAGGAAGAGGTTTAGCCTCTGTGGTGAGGGTTCCACTAATAAAGACTTTTATGGAGCCAGTGTACATAAATAGCTAATAACAGTTCTAGACAAAAGGAATTTTATATTTTCATTTAAAGGGGGGGGTCATCACCATCTCTAGCAATAAAGGAAATGCAAATTAAAACCACGCTAAGATTCCACCTCACCCCTGTTAGAATAGCCATCATCAGCAACACCACCAACAACAGGTGTTGGCGAGGATGCGGGGAAAAAGGAACCCTCTTACACTGTTGGTGGGAATGTAGACTAGTACAACCACTCTGGAAAAAAATTTGGAGGCTACTTAAAAAGCTGGACATCGATCTACCATTTGATCCAGCAATACCACTCTTGGGGATATACCCAAAAGACTGTTACTCCAGAGGCACCTGCACATCCATGTTTATTGCGGCACTATTCACAATAGCCAAGTTATGGAAACAGCCAAGATGCCCCAGCACTGACGAATGGATTAAGAAAATGTGGTATCTATACACAATGGAATTTTATGCAGCCATGAAGAAGAACGAAATGTTATCATTCACTGGTAAATGTATGGAATTGGAGAACATCATTCTGAGTGAGATTAGCCTGGCTCAAAAAACCAAAAATCGTATGTTCTCCCTCATATGTGGACATTAGATCAAGGGCAAACACAACAAGGGGATTGGACTATGAGCACATGATAAAAGCGAGAGCACACAAGGGAGGGGTGAGGATAGGTAAGACACCTAAAAAACTAGCTAGCATTTGTTGCCCGTAACGCAGAGAAACTAAAGCAGATACCTCAAGGCAACTGAGGCCAATAGGAAAAGGGGACCAGGTACTAGAGAAAAGGTTAGATCAAAAAGAATTAACCTAGAAGGTAACACCCACGCACAGGAAATCAATGTGAGTCAATGCCCTGTATAGCTATCCTTATCTCAACCAGCAAAAACTCTTTTTCCTTCCTATTATTGCTTATACTCTCTCTACAACAAGATTAGAAATAAGGGCAAAATAGTTTCTGCTGGGTATTGGGGGGGGGAAAGGGGGGGGAGAGGGAGGGGGCGGAGTGGGTGGTAAGGGAGGGGGTGGGGGCAGTGGGGAGAAATGAACCAATCCTTGTATGCACATATGAATAATAAAAGAAAAATGAAAAAAAAAAATAAAGGGGGGGGTCAGAACATTAAATGAACATATTTACTGAAGATTCATTTTTGCCCCATCATAATTCATTTTAATTGTATTCTGTTTTAAACAAGGCATAGATCAATCTTTTAAAAAATATACATATCAGAATATACCCTGATAAAAATTTAAGAGTACATGGTTTAGAAAATGAAATTTGTAAAAAAAAAAAATCATGTAGTCTAAAAGTCTTAATATGGAAAGTATACATTTTATATTCATTGCAAAGTTCACTGCCCGCTGATTTTTAAATTGAAATTGTCCACAATAACATTTAAATAAGAATTTCTAAACAGAATTTGATTTGTAGAATTCACTCTTTTTTATTATGAATGTATTTAGGTGTACATACAACTAAAAAGTAATCTCCTTAGGAAATTTAATTTGAAACTCTGACTTATAAAATGCAATTCAATCTTGAATTATATTAATATAACATTTTTTGTCTACTTTGGTGTCCACACAGCCTAGAAAATAAGCAACAATGTACTAGCATGTAGACATTGACCAACTCCCTTCAGTTTTTATGAAGCTGTAGAGTCAAAAGTGTGTAAGTGTGTACATGCGTTTGCACACACACAAACATACACATACTTTTTCTGGAGCAAATGTGGGAACTAACACACAGTAAATGTGATTCTACAAATTTCTGAGATGGAGAATAATAAAATTACAAGTAAAAACCTGAGAAACAACACACAAATATAAATACATATATTTATGTGTGTATGGAAACCATAATACACTCCTCAGGCTAATACTCCTGAAAATTCAGAGAAGAATGTATTTTAAATATATGTTTGCATATCCTGTTAATGATGGCATTTTTTTAAAAGACAACTGAGTAGTGTAAAATGAAGGAATTTAAAAAAAGACAATTGGTATGTCTTATTCATTTATAATGTGGTATCTTTTTCCTCATTTAGGAAAAAGGGATTTTTGAAGGAGATGACAGAAAAGGATTTATGTAAAATCTTAGTGACTGCCTAGTTTTACAATCAGTTTGAGAGGACATCACCCTAAAATGATAAAAGTACAATGTTCATATTCTTTAAAGGGTAGTTAAAATATAACTGCCATTAAGTGATGTGTGTGTGTGTGTACTGCTGCTGCCTGAATCCACAGAGCCACAGGTCTCTTAGGTGAGAGCTCAGCAGAAATCAAGAAATTGCAAGGTGGCAAGATGCCAAATACAAACCATTTGGAAAAAAGAAATCAATAAATTAGAATCATTATATAATTTCCCCTGGGATTTGGATTATTTTTATTTGGTGATTTTTCTGGCTCTTGGTTGTTCATATGGAAAATCTAGAGTCATAATCTGTGATGCCTTAAATTATTTGGCTTTTACACAATAATTGTTTTATTCTATGAAGAAAGAAATCAGCCAAAAGAGGAAAATCTGAAGATAATTTCTTTCTGAACCAGAATCTGATAACAGCTGACAATATCTAAAGAAAAGAGAGGGAATCACTGGAGAAAAGCAATTTCCATGCTTTTTTTTTATCATGCCACTAAAAGCTCTTTTTTGAAAGAATACAAGGTTCTTACAAGAGTTTGCATTGAAGAGGATAATTGTTGTTAAAATCAGGTTTCTTTTATTTGCCTCCATTTCATCACACAGAGACATATTGAAAACTGTTAAGAGTGGACTGCCATGTCAGCCGCCACAGGACCAGGTTGAGCTTGGTTTTCTTTGTCAATATATACAGAGTCTGCCTTGTTTTCAAATAACACTCAATCCTGTTTCTGGCTTGGTTTTTGTTATCTTACTAACAAGACGAAGGGCTACAAGAGGGAGAGATAGAAAGGGCAGGAGAGTGCATGGTGTGGTGTTATGGTCGTTCTACTCACGGCAGCAAGATGGAAATGTATTGTTGATCTGCTCCATGACCTCCGTGAGGTCCGTGCTGGTGTCATGAGGTGGGGCCAGCAGGTCCTCTGTCCCTGTGACAGCACAGAAAACGAACAACAGACCTTAATGTCCAGCTTTTTATCAAAAAACCTTCTTTCAGGGGAAAATACTACAACCAGCCTCAAAATAATCGATGGGACATGAGTTGTCATTGGAAAGGGCAATTTCAGAGGAAATAGCAAAAGCCTTGCTGTAACATAGCACACCCCCAGCCCTGGCAATCTATTTTTATATAGTCAAAAGTCTATCAGATGTTGTACAGAAGGAATCCACACAACAAGGGGAAATATAAGGTTGAAACATAAGTAACACAGTCATTGCATTTCAAAGTCTTGCTTGGAAATCTATTTTGGATTTCAAGTATTTTTCTACAAAAGGAAAATATTCTACCAATCTTCTTAATTCTTTTTGGAGCTTTGAGAATAGACTAGCTTATCCTGCCACAAAAGTAAAAGTATGTTGTAAGATACTTTTTCACCCTGCTGTGTTTTTTTTTCCCTATAATCGTCACAATAATTATCTAAGAAAATATTAAACTGACATTAATATTTTAATTTTTCTTCTGATTAGGGTACCAAAGGATATTCTGCCAATAAATTAATTTGGTTATAGTATGGTCTTCAGTAGAATTTTATTGATAATAAAAATGTCTTTCCTAAGTTCTAAAGAGTCCTCCCTAACAGGGGTGACAGCTCCCTACTGTGACCAGTGATGGCTGGGTACCTCTGCTTCAGAAGGAAGTTGGGGCAAGGCCCACAGGCACCAAGATAGATAAAGTATACATACACTTGGTCCTGGGCAGAGAAAACCACAATGTTTGGAATAATGTTCTTTGGTATTAACTTTTCAACATGTACAAATGTGAAAATTTCAGACACATAAGCATATGATAGCTAAATGTTGCATTTTTGATACTGTTAAAATTAATCCACATTAATTTCAGGTCCATGTGTCAAAATGCTAATAAAATGAGAAATAAATGGCAAGTACAAAGCAGACTGGGCACAGCAGCTGTACCTTGAGGACACTGACCTGCCTGGTGGAACTGTGGGCTTGGATCCGGATCAAGGGAGTAGTTCAGTGCAGAATGCTGTGGTGAAGCCCACGGAGAGACACCATTGATTCGGGAATCGGATTCAGGCTGAAATCACATGCAGAGGTTAAAGCAGAGAAAGGATTAGAATAATCAGGATAGAAAACAGCTCCTTTTCGGCTTTCCTTCCTACACCATGGATAATTAAACCCATAGAGTTCTTGACCTTCAGGAAACGTCAAATACAATCTCAGCATCCTTTGGGTTGGGACATTAGGACTTCTCTTGAATACCAAGTAGTCTTACCCTCCCCATTAGGCACCTTGAAGAGCTCAGTTATACTGCAAGATTTATTGATTGATGTCATTTTCACCTCTTAATTTTTAAAAATTATTTTTATAACAATCAAATGAATTTGGAAACATGCTGCATTCATCTTTCAAAAATTAGCACTAGGCTTCTAAAAGGGTAAATTTATCAAATGTATTGGAGAGGGTGGTGATGAATATGATTTTTGGATTCAGTTGTTTGAGTTCAAGCTCCAACTCTGTCACTCAGAAGTGGTGTAATTCTGGGCAAATGATACAACCTTGTGTGCCACTAATTCTTTATGTACAAAACGGGTGTAGTAGAAATAGTGCCTGTTTCATAGGATTTTGTGACGGGAGTGATCAATGAGTATTTCTAAAGTGATTTGCAGTCTGACAGCTAGCAAACACTTTGTAAATGCGCTCCTGCACAAATCTCTGAAATGGTGATGGATATGTTGACAAGTATATAATCAAATTGGAAAGAGGGATTGATTGTATAGGGAATGCAGAAATTACAAATTTTTAATGTAGATTTTTCATTAAATCTTATTAGTTGAAGTCTGGTAGTTTTGCCTGTTTATACTATCAGAGTTAAATTTTTCATCTACTTCTGGCAGTCATGCTAAATCGTTAAGAAGAGATAAGAGCTCCACTGTCTGGGATACTGAGAGCCATTTAGATATCAGTTATCTCCAAAAACATTACTGTGCAACTCTGAAAGCACGTGAGCCATTAGGCAGCTCTGCCTAATGGGATGGAGGGAGTAGGAGGAGGTAAGGGTGAACACAAGCGCCTTTAGCTCCCCTAAGAGTATCAACAAGCTATGGCAAATAAAGATTTCAGGCACCACTTCCTTCTGCAGTGAATCTATGTATGCACTACGTCATTAATACTAACACTTCATATGCTAAGCAAGGACTACAAAGAAAACTCACCCCTTATTCAGGCACCATTCACAACTTCAAATTCACTGTGTTAGCAATGTAATTTTTCCAATGTATCACTGATATAAGAAACATTCTGAGGGCTGAAAGCCAGGTCCTTGGCACGGGGCATGGTGGGGGGCAGGGTGGAGGGTAACTGGTGGGTCAGGGAGGAGGTGGGGAAAGGACACGGGAAGGTGAATATGGTGCAAATACTGTGTACACATGTATGTAAATGGTAAAGTGATACCTGTTGAAACTATTCGGGGATTGGGGGGAGGGGGATAAAGGAAAATGGTGGAGGGGGTGAATTCAAATATGATATATTGTAAGAACATTTGTAAATGCCACAAGTACCTCTACCCTGCACAACAACAATTAAAAAAAAAAAAAAAAAAAAACCAGTTCTTGAGTCACTCTTGGGGAACTATCATTTTTCTAACGATGCAGAATTTGGAAGCCCTGAAGCAAGCCTTCCACAAAGCAGTGTCACACAAATTCTTGAAACAATGATAAATACAGAGAAAAGTTCATTCAGGTAATGAAGAAATTATAATGTTTTGAACAATTCTGAAAAGTTAAAAAAGACGCTGACAGCAACTGTGACAAGATGATTTTTTTAAACTGGAGCAAAGCACTGGACAGAAAGTTGTTTCTGCTTTGATTCAGCAAATCATTTCTGGAAAAAGGCAGTGCTGTAACATTGCAAGGGCTCCACACTGCACAGGCTGAAGAAAAAGGCAAGCAATGACACGAGTGTGGACATTATGGATTCTTTAAGTGAGCAGTTCCTGGCCCTTTTGCTGGGATTCTACCCTATATACACCTGCTATAAAGGCTTCTTCATTGCAGTTTTGTGCTGTGATTCTATACGTTCGGGCTAAATACTTACTCTACGGTTGTGTCTTCATACACCATACTCTCTTACTGTGGTCTTTAAAAAGACTGCAGCCTCAGAAAGGCAGGAACTGAGCCTGATGCTTATTTATAAACCAAAGAACAGTGTTTCTCAAAACTGTAAGACCTTACCCACTGATGAAATATAAATTCAATTTTGTAGAGTCTGATCAGCATTAAGAGAGAAAAGTAAGAGAAAAGAAAAAAGAAGGGAATAAGAAAGGAAGGAAGAAGAGAAAGAAGAAAGGAAAGAAAAGAAGGGATTCAGGGGGAAGGGACGGAGTGAGAGGAAGAGGGAAAAAAGTAGAAAACAAGAGATGCATTTTGCTACTAAGGTAAGTGCTATTTAGCATTCATCATACACATCTGTTTTCATCACAATGTAAATTTTATTTCCTATTGTCAAGAGAGTTAACAGGCAAATGCCAAAAAACATGTTAGGAAATAACAGTAGCAAATTAATACTCATCTGTTAATTTTATGAAAATAGGAAACAGTGACTTTGGAGTGTCCTGTTTCTGGTTCACTGGAAGAAGCAGGAAGTTGTATGTCATAGGATCTTTTCTATCCAATTATTCTGAGTGGAGATAGATTTCAGTGCTAAAGTAGAATGAGAAAGTCCACTGTTGATAGGGAAACAGATTTTTTTGTGCCAATGAGGATGTAATACATCCATGGAAAAAGGGACTTCTAAGTCAGTCAAATTAACTGTGGAAGTGAAAGACTGAAGGTGGACTGGTGGACTTTTACTGACACAGGCCCAAGCCTCTGGGAGGTGTGATGGCAGCCTACCTGTTCCAGCAGCTGTCGAAGGCGGTGCAGCTGTGACTCCAGTTGTTTATTGTGATCTTCTAAAATCTGCATCCTTGCCTCCAGCCGACCTTTGTGCTGCCGAAGGAGTTTTGCTTCTGCTATGAGTTCTGAATCCTCAGACGAGTGATGAGGAGATACCACTGAGTCTGGAGGTGAAGCGACTGGGAGCCCTCTTCTCAGATGTTGCTCCTTCAGTTGCTCATACTCCATCTGCAAATTTCTAATACAGAAAGGGAAAAATGGAATCACTGTTGTGGGCACTGTCTTCTCTCCCAAACTGTCTTATGAGCTCTAAATTTAGCTTTTGCTAATATTTCCTCTTACGTAAAAACACATGCTAACAGTAAGAGGAGCAAGCAGGAAGAAATCTGTGACTTCCGGCAAGAATGCTAATAGGTATCATTAACGAACCCACATATTGCTGGGCCTGCAGCTCACATCTCAGCATCTAATGTCCTCTAAAACATTAACTCCACTGTGATATCTTAGGTAGGAAAAGAGGATAGGGAAGGGCCACGTGGACCTTCACATGGGACCAAGGGTGACATATTTCCTTCTTTCAGGTCTAGCATACCTCTGTTCTTCCTCCAAGTCAGCAATGATGCGTTCCAGTTCTCCTCGTTCTTCCCTTTCCACAGACTTCAGGATCTGAGCTGGACTCTGAGGCTGGCTCACAGGGGACTCCCCACCGAGTGTCTGGCAGTACTGTTGGATAAGGGCATGTTCGTCCTCCCTAGTGAGACAAAGGCGGTGGACACAGAGGTTCATGTCTAGACCGTGAGGGCTCTGGACACAGCTCAGTGTCTCTGTGACCTCCCTTTTAAAACTCCAGCAAGATACTCATCCAACAGTGCATGTGTTTGATGTATACCAACATTTTACGCATGTTGTAGTCTACCAGCTATTTCTTACCAACCTCAGAAGACACATTTTATGCAGCAGAGGGAGCAAATTAAAGCACAGCAGTTAATATAAATAAGGCTAATTAGTTAATATAAGGCTTAAATAGTTAATATAAAACAAGTAATATAAAAGACATTATAGGCAAAAATCACTCATTGAATACCTAAAGAGTAGATTTAAAGACCACTGAGCAAAAATATGCTGACCTCTTTGTCTTTAGCACTTGGCTGTAAACAAAGTTGAAATGTTTTACAATTCACGGGATGGGGTTTATAATACTTACATTCTTTTATTTAAATAACTCAGCACAAATGTAATTGAAGATATTTCAAAATATCTATAGGTATTTTACTTGATATCGTGAGAGGGTAATTTTTAGGATCTGTCATTCTTCATTAAAACATTAACTACAACTAATTCACCACAGTGCTCCCACTCATTAACTACTTGTCTAATGAACTAGTCATATCCATAATGGGATTAAGAACTGACCAAAGCAGAAGCATCATGAAGTACACAAAGTAGATGTGTTTATGAGGAGGAAATGTTTTTCAGTGGGCAGATCCCATCAGCTCCCATGTAAATGTGCAAATGCCGATTTCCTGACTGAAGCTAGTGCAGAGTATTGTTGCAGATTGTATGTGGCCTCTTTTAATGGCACCTGCTACACAGTCCTGGAATCCATGTATGTATAGGATAGGACTTTAGGAAAATGTTAGGGTGAACAAAGGGGAAGCCATGTTAGGATTGGACTCCCTCCCCCTGCAGACAGCTTACTGGAACACTACCCTTTACTGGAAGGATCACATCCAGCCTCACGGGAATGACAAACTTTCATCTCTCCAGGGGGTCTAGCGCTGTAAGCAACCTATGTAACTAGTTACCACTTATCTATTCTAGCTTCCCCTAGCAATCGCTAACTTTGGAAAAATTTTCCCGCCTGCAAAACTTCCCTTCCAGACCCCTGCCCTGTATCTACTCCTAGCCTATAAGTGACAGTGGTGTTCTCCCCTCCACAGGGTTTCTTCCCAAATAAACCATGTGCTGGTGTTTGAATCATCCCGCCTATCCATTCCACGCCTCTTTCAGTCTAACAGAAAACACCATGCAAGTTATGTAGCTATCAGAATATAAAATGAAGCCATCCCATGACTGAACCCTTCTATGCGAGCAATGTGGCTACGTATCTCATCTCTCTGAGGAATCTCATCTGTTCTCTGAGGCCAGAGTGTGTCCTGAGGCAGCCAACAATATCCTGGACTTCCCTCTGTTTCACTTGGGCCTTAAAACTGCCTGTGCTCTTGAGCTGATTAGTCCTGCCTGATACTGGGCAAGAGCTCTGACTCTAGTGAGTGTGATGTGAAAATCCAGCCTGATTAATCACAGTTTACTCTGACAAAGAGGGAATTAAAATTACATGGACGATCTAGTGAGTTCTTAGAAAAGGTGTGTCCTAAACACTGAGATCAGACAAAGGAGATGAAGTCAAGAAGGAAAATGAGTGCTACGCTTGCCATTCTGCCACAGCAGAGGTTCCAAGGAGCCTCTTCTGACTAATGCTGCTTCCTTCCTTCCTTTTGTTCCCCCAAATATACATATATGTATACATACATAGCTATCGATATGTGTTTGTACATATATGTGTATGTGTATATATATATAAATTTTTTTTAAAAGCCATACACTTTGGTTAAGACCACAATATAAACTTAGATTACTAACCTTGCCTTTCTCCTTCTATCAAATAGGTTTTAAAAGTGGGGGTGGGATGAGCCTATCACAACAAAGTTAAAAACTGCAAATAAGGCACATGGTGGGATAAGGGGTGAAGTCAGCCACAGCACCTTCCTTTGATTTCTTTTCCTGAAAATAAGAAATGTAGCACCCCTGGGAAGTAAAGGAAGGAGGCTCTATCAGAATCCCTGCTTGCTCTGTGGTTTAAGGCGTGAGAAGAGCAGAAATGGGCACAGAACCACTGCAGACAAGCAGCATTTGCGAGCAGATCCGTACAGAAATCTGGCAGGGAATATGGAGGAAGTAAGCAGCCTAAACCTAACTGTTATGAAGGTAAGCTATGAGACTAATCCACCAACACCACTGGGGCACCACTAGCTGCAATGGATCCAAGTACTGCTCCAAGGCAAATCTCTCACTTCATGTGCAGAGAGAGGCAGTGAGACAGGATAACAAGTACAAGACTACCATGGGAACAGGACAAATGGATGAGATATGAAGTTACAGTGCACACAGAAGAAAAGTAACTGCAAACTAAGAATACAGCACATTTTGCAAATATTTCTCAGGCTAAAAGAGATCTGAGCATAGAAACTAAAAAGAAAGACTATCAAAGAAAAAGAAAGGAAAAAGCATCATGAGCAACAAAAGAAAATAGTAAGTCATCTACAGGGATGAAAAGATTTAGCCTCTTACTGCCCACAATATCATTTGCTCAAAAACAATGGGGCAATGTCCAGAGTTCTAACCCAGTCGTTCTTACAAGCAGCCAGATCACTCATTTGTACAGGCAAACTGCTTCGTGCACATGGCAAAAGAAAGAATGAGCAAGGTCAATGCAAAATAGGACAGAACTAGATGGAAACCTTAGATGTTGTAATAAATAAGAGGTAAGATGACTCTCACAGTGATTCAACAATCGTTAGATGACACATAGCAGCAGTATACCTAAAGAAAATTGTAAAAACTCAAAGTTTTTTTTTTAAGAAGTAATATAAGAACCTCATGAATCAGAAGAAAACTTAAACCCCAAAGCTTCCTGGTTGATCTCCTGGCCACGATTTGACCATATTTTGGCACAGAGCTCCCTGAAATTGTAAAGCACCATTTGAACTTTATGCCCTGAGAACATGTATGCTACTGCCTGGTCCCACGGACTAAATTTAGTGCTCAACATTAACATAAACTAAACTTTTGTTTTAAAGTTTTGGGTACTATGAAATCCTGCTGAAATTAGGTTTGGGATACATTTTGTTGTAAACGTTTATATAAATTCATTTCTTTTGTAACATTCATGGGATTTAGCATATTATTATAATTATTGTCACTAACTCTGCATTCTTTGCTAATGTGTCTGGAAGAGAATTAAGGTTCTTTTTAAACAAAAATAAGAACTTAAGAATAATTTATATGTAACATACAACTTTAGTCTTAAATGTTTGTCACAGATTATTAGACCTAAAATATAAAAACAGACACATCCCAGTTCTTAATTACATATAGTAAAAACCAAAAGCAAGCTCTTTATGCAGATAGTACATGACACACCAGCTTAGGGTTATTAAACATCAATGATGCATCTCACGCTGAAACAGAAGATATTTTTAAAATGTCAGTCTGCATCAAGGGATACCATTAGATGGAGTACAATTATACTCTATTTGCTGCACATACTAAATACTATCTAATTACAAAATTAGTACCTATCAGATGACAAAACAACTATGATTCATTCAATGACCTTTTTAAAAGTAAGCAGCACATAAATAAAAAGAAAAATTTCCTTTCTTTTAAGGGATGTTCTATTCCAGGCTTCAGATTTGCAAATAACCATCTCAGTGCAAACATGTTCAGCCTCCCCTTCTGAGCCTTCCACATAAGAGTGTCACCCAAGGGTAGAAGGCAAGTGGGGTGAGGCATTCTGATGGCTACGGCTTCAGAACCACTGTCCTTGAGTTATGACTTCTGAGCCAGGACTGTCCTGGGTCCTGTCCTTTCCTGAGACATGGTTGTTCAAATCTTCCTTCAATGATACTTAGTATCCTTAAAATTAATGCCCTCTTAAATGGTTCAGAGTCAGATTTTCAGAGAAATGGGGAGCGTGAGGAATTGAGTATAAGTGGGGTTAACAAGCCATGAATGGATGGCAAAGAGAAACTGTTGAAAGACCATTGTGATGTTTCAGTATTTATTGTAGCAATACTTAATTCACTCAGTCAAATCAATAATACTAAATGAAAGGGATTTTTTTTTTGCAGTGTTGGGGATCCAATCCAGATCTTCACGAGCGCTAGACAAGCCCTCTACCACAGAGCCTAAAATGGAAGTGTTTAAAATAAATATTACAACTTAAGAGAGAAAAGTGAGCATTCCAAGCCAAACCACTGGATTAGGTCTAAATTAGGGTTTCAGTGATTCAGGCTCATTAGTAGTTTTCTAGCCCAAGTGGTAGAATTGCTGCATTTTTACAGGATGAGGACCCCAGGATACGTAGCAGTTCACACTGTGAAAGAGCAAAGGAATGCCACTACTGAGATTTACTAACGTATTCATTAAGAAAATATTACAGCTCCAGTAACTCTTTAGTGGTTCATACAGTCTTACACCATCGATGCAGGTTACTCTTACATAGAAGGGAGACCCCAGGTGCTGCCTTTTCCATCACCTTGAGGCCATCAGCATTCCTCCATTCTCAAAGCCAGCAGCATGGCATCTGCCAGTCTCTCTATCTGACCTTTACTTCCACCCTCACACATCCTCACACAGCTTTCCTCCTCGCTTGAAAGACCCTTGTGATTACATAGGGACTCCCTGGATCCTTCAGGATGCTCCTCACATTTCAGTATCTTTACTGTAATCACACTGTCAAAGTCTCTTTTGCCATGTGAATTAATACATTCATAGGTTTCAGGAATGAGAATGGGGACATCTTTGGGGGAGCACTATCATGTTATCACAAATGCCCTCATCATGTTCCCTCTCCTGAAGGAGCTCTTACCTGTCTCCCCTCTAACCTGTGAGATTTAGGAAGACAGTACCTACATCTGCAGACTTACTGTAGTATTGGGTGCATGGCAGTGGTATGCTAATGAATGCTTAACAACAGGTACTCCACAAGAAAAACTGCAAGGGCTTAATTAGTGGTGCTTCCAAGGTCTGTGTTTTAAATACTTTCATCATGGGCAATTTTAAGCTACTAATATCACTGAATGTAGAGCTGGGAAGGTACTCAGTTGCATATCACCTGACAGATAGAATACATTAGTGCTAAATTTTAAAATAGTGTTTGCTCTAGTTTGAAGATAGGATTTACTAAATTTGGGCATTTCATGTACTCTGTTCACACAGCAAGATAAATACATTTTAAAGATGTAAGACGTGGGTCTCTATTATTTTTAATTTCAAATAATTCTTCAGCTATTGTCAATCTTGGTAGGAATTACATTGATTTCAAAGATATTTAAGACATTTAACCCCTTTATATAAAACACATAATAGGAGGTAAAATATGAAACAAGCATTATGAACACACTATTATCTTAATTTGGGAACTATTTCAGATTCACAGTGCCTGAGTAATAAGAAGAACAGCAGCAGCATACAAAAAATTACTATGTTATTGTCAAGTATTGATACTAATCTTTTGCATTTAAAACTAAAAAACCTCCTGAGTGCTTTTATTTATAAGTTTAATGACAAACAAACTTTAAACAATATTGAAAGGAAGACATTGTGTGTCAGAGTGTGGAAGTTGTTTCTACTTGGCTTTCTGCATCATCTCTGCTAGTGGAAACACCCATGCATTATGGTTCTCCAACTTCTTTATCTTACAGCTTCCTACCAGATCCAAACCACAATGAACCTACAAGTGACATGAACCTCAGCCTTTTACGCATCACGTCAGAATTAATGTGAATCACGAGGCCAACAAAGGTTCCAAAGGAAAGGTGACATACAAAGAGTGGGGGCATCAGAGAGAAATTACTTGCCAAGAATGTCCCAAAAGCAAGTCGAATACACACAAATGAGGAAATCAAACATAAACCATTTGGCTAGAAAGCTTATAAAAAGGTATTCTAAAGTCAATGAGGCTTTTTCTAGTTCCTGACAAAATATTGGCAAGGAGTTACTTTATAATGAAGGCTGGGAAGTATGTTCAAGCATGTGCAGGCAAGCAGAAGAAAGAGGACTTTGCAAAAATGGCACATATCCCGAGGAATTAAACTTACAAAATTAATAAGAAACGTCAATATTATGTGATTATAAATACAACGGCCTGATTATCCTGAAGCAGTTTAGTTAAGCAATGTGGGTTTTTTTTTTCCATTAATAAACATATCCAGTTTATGCTCTCATGGCCTGAAAGCATAAAATCTGGGTAGACATTTTTGGAACCCACACTTAATGATTTTGACTAGAATCAAAATTCAGAGACACAGCCAAGGATGATTATTTCTGACAGCCATAATACAAGAACCAGTTTTCCCAGGGAGTGCTAATTTCACGATTTACTTACACACTTCCTGTGGTAGAGCTGCTATCAGTGAGGAAAGACCCATTAGTTCTTTCCATCTGAGCCAGTCTGAAAAAATGAAAATAAGGAGGTGAGGTAATATGGCTGCACAGAACATGGTCAACCGAAAACACATCTGTAGTAATTTGTGAAGTCAGAGTTCTGACAAAACAGAGAGGGGTCCTAATCTCCTACCATGATTGCAAAATTAAAACAACCTCTAATGTGGTTGTTTCTACCACCACTACCTCAAGACCTGTGGATCTTTATCTGAAACTATGTTATCTCCAAATTTACCGAATCTCCTAATGAGCTCCCAGGCCCTCCAGCCAGCATTCTACTCTGAAGTGAAGGTTACCCGCTCTTACAAATCCCATTATGTTCCTCTCATGTCTGAAGACTCTCCATGACTTCTCATTACCTAAGGACATGACCCAACTCCTTGGCAACTGGGCCCTTCATTACCAGACTGCAGTTCTGCCCCTCAGTGCTCTCTCAACTCCCTTACCCTTCTCTTCCTGCAGGTCAGTGAACAAGCCACAGTTCTTTCCCAGCAAAATGCTTTGGAGCATGTTTTTTCCATTAGCTCAAGCATGCCATCCTCCAAAAATCCTACCTAGTTTTGATTCGGCTCAAATGTTACTATTTTTATGATGCTTAAAACTAGCATTTTTAGGCCTAACTGGGTACTAGGACCATAACTGCTCACGTTACTAAAGTTTGTGCACAGCTTTAAGAGAGACATGTTTTATATTGTTTAGGGATTCTAAAGCAAACCCCTATAATAAAACATTAGCATAAATTTAATTACACTTTACAGCATCTCCTGAGAATACTTTCAATCCCTGCTTTCACTCACTGAAACCGGGTTACATTATCTAAATTCTGCTTGCACAATGTTTGGATTCTCATGAGCTTGGTAACCCATAGCCTACTGAGATTTATTCTTCACAGAATAAAAAGCAGGTGTTTGGTAAAGTGCAAAATGAAACATGAAAAGACGAAAGCCCAAATTCCAAATATAATGGAATCACAACTCCTGCAAACTGCATTCTTCAAAATCAAGGTATGTGAATAGTATCAGTTAATTCAGAAATAGATTTATTCTGGGTGGCAGTGTGGTGCTGCAAAGTGTCTTACCGGGTGGCATACTGCTCTATTCTTGAGTGGGTGTCATCGTGGAACAGCTGAGGAGACTGTGAGGGGCTGCAAAGTAAAAAAATAAAATAAAAGCAACAGTATTATGCCCAGATATTGACAGATGTTACCAGTAGGAATGTTAGTTTAGTTAAATAATGAATTTGACATGCAAACAAGACACCTGGATTGTTACCCAGGATGCAGAAAAAGAGTTTAGTAATTACCCCATGCTAATACACCTGTTCAGAACATCCCTCCACTGCACGTGGGCTGTGAATACTCACTCATAGTGCTCTGGCCACATACTGATGAGTGTGATAGGACTGTAGAGAGGGGAGAGGGAGACAAAAGTCACAGAACAAACATTTAGAGCAATTGCAGACAAAAGCAGATGGGGGTGGGGAGGGAGTGGTTGGTGCTCTTAGTTGTCTTCCAATCATATTTGGCTGCCCTGACCTTCGCTATGGGGAAATAAAAAGTAATACAACTCACAGTTTAGAGAAAATGCTGTGTATTTAAGTATCTACAGGGATTTTTTAGGGTATTTGTTACAGGATAGCAAACACATTTTAGAACAGTCTTATTGTGAAAAAAAAAAAGCAGACTATTTTAAAATAGCTCAAAATTATAGGTTAATTTTAAAGATAACATTCTAGAATATCCTAAGGGGAGATGAAATCATATTTTTGTTTTTCTTGGAGAAAAAAATCAGAAAACTAAAGTTATATATATATCACTAGATTATATATATTAATGACGGGGCTGAAGTAAAATCAGATTTTCCTTCCAATTTGAAGTGTAAAAATTCAAACCCTGAGGTATACAAAGTAGCTCAACTTCACAGATAAATTAAAAAAGGTGTAATCTACATGCTTTCCTGTATATCCTGCCAGAAGTGCCACAGCATCAATTCACTGAAAGCAACTTCTCTAGAGCAGGTATACTTTCCTCATACACAATTTTACCCACAAGTTCAATCTTGGAAACTGATGCCTGAAAAATGTGTTCCACTTGAATCAGGGGCTTAGGTCTGAGGCTGGATCACTGAGTATCACTCTCAGCCCAGGGGGCAGTCCCAAACTCTCACACCTCCTAAGTCTCCTCTAAGGGCCATTGAAAACAACCGATCCTAATTAAGGCTAATTCAAACCCTAACTTTTTGGGGGGGTGAGGTGGGAGACATTGATGAACGTAGAAATGTAAAGGTACACAGAAAATTAGTTCTGTATTTAATTAATAAAATAAAGACTCCTGTAAAAGCTAATGCTGATTGAAGCAAATTGCTTCTTGTTCTATCATATGTACACACTTAAGCAAAAGTTTCTGATCTCATTATCTCCTTCTGTGAAGCACACGTGGATGTGTGCACCGCCAAGACTGGAAAAAGAAGGGAAGTCATCTTACTGCCCTTCAGACCAGCTTTCAAAAATGGACATTTAGTCACTGTGCTTGTCAGACTATCTCTTCTGTAAGCAGACTTAATTACCTATGTGTAAAACAGACACATGGGCGACAGAACAACACAGTCCTGTTCAATACCCTTTTCTCATCACTACTTTTCATTAACCCTGAAATGGAGGTGCTAAGTGTCAGGTGACAGATTCTAAATACAGCAGCTGCTAAGATGGGGTTTTCTCCTCAAATTCAAGTGTACTGTAACATCTCACATGAGCTTTAAACAGAAGAAAAATGTGTATTTTTACTTTTAAATCGTAACAGACCTTGGAAAAGCTTTGTGAAACTGCTTGACTGAGTCTTGTGATATTAATTTAGTTAGCACAAAAGTGATTCATGAACTCAGATAAAAATGAAGGGGCAGAAAACTGAAACAAAAGTTTCTTGAAAAAAGTTTATTTTTATGAAAAATTTCAAAAAACAGAAAAAAGTCACACTTTAGGCTTCATTGACTTCAAAGCATTCTGGTTTGCAGGAAAAAAATTAAATGATAAGTTTTTTATTTACTTTTTAAGGAATAAAAACAATGCACTGCATAGTTAGAACCTATGATTGAAGGGGGTTAAAAATAAGACCTGGGCTAGGGGTGAAGCCCAGCAGTACAGCACTTGCCTAGCAGGAGTGAGGCCCTGGGTTCCAACCCCAGCACAAATAATTAAGTAAATAAATACAAGTTATAGATAAATGATAGATAGATGACAGATAGATTAGGTAGGTAGGTAGATAGATAGATTAGGCAAGTAGATAGGTAGATAGATGACAGATTAGGTACGTAGGAAGGTAGAAAGACAGACAAACAGAAAGATAGATAGATGATAGATAGATAAACAGATGATAGATAGATAAAGTACAATATGGGTGTTAGCCTACAGTTCATAATGCAGCCTCTCCATGTTTTCCAGTGTGGTTGGCTGAGCAGGGTTTTCTTATGAATCTCACACAAATATGCAAGGAATGAGATGCTACGAAATATACATATTATGTGAAACATAATCCAAACTTCAAAAATCTTAGTGACGCTTTTAGTGACTTAAATTTCCAGCAGTCTCCTTTTTATCTTTCTGATATTTTTTATTAGAATTTTGTCCTTTTTATCCTTCTTCAATCTACTTGTCCCAAAGAAGACAACTGGGGTTTGAGCTGATCTTTCATGGAAACTCTCAATGGCTCCCTACTCTTCTCAGGATAGACTCTAAATACTCAGCATGAATTCCAATGCCCTTGGTGATCTGGCTTCTGCTTCTCTCACCACTTTCTCTTTCTACCACTATTCTTAGCTCACCACTCTAGCTTCTCAGGTGATCTTACCTCCAGGCTTTTCAAAATACTTCATTTTCCCAGAGACTCTCTTTTTCTCTGAGCATACCAAACACTCAGCAATCAGGTCTCAGCTTAGTTGAACCTCTCCCTCTCAGTCCAAACACCCCTATAATTACACCTACTGAGTTGGTTCTTGCTATAGTAAGATGTTTAAAAAGTCAAGAAACTCACCTATTCCACCTTAACTAATAGCAGAGGCAGGCGTCTACTTTACTTTTTTTTATCATCAGTAATAATCTCTTACAACTCTCAAATTATTATTGCCACTATTTTAGCTTGTCAGGTTTATTTTCAATAATATACTCTGCAATTTTATTCATTAATTTTAGTTTTGAAAAATCTTGCATACATAGTTATAAAATTAAATGGGTAAACTTTATAAAATTACATGAGCAAACCTTACAATTAAATGGATAAAATTAAATGGGCATGTTTATGTCCCCTCTTAGTAATATAATTCTTTTTTCCACATAAATCCCCTTAATGAATGCATGTATGATTACTGGTCAGAGGATAAAACATTACTTTTTGCAAAGATAAGAAGAAAGAAACAAAGAAAATTCTAATCAGTTCCATAAATAACTTCAACACCTTCGTCACTTTACTGGGTTTTCACCAATGTTTTCCTCCTGTAAGTAGGAGAATAAATGAAATCAAACTCTTTCACTACCCACGCACATGAACTGTCATACCAGAGGTTAAGTGACCCTGTTGCAGAAAGGGCTCAACAGAGAAAATGAACTATATGAAATCCAGAGAGCTCCATCTAGGATTTAAAAAAGAATAAAACCTGCGCACTATCTCTAATACCTCATAACTCTTTGTCAGTGGGGATCTTGTAGCTTTCTTTCTTTCTTCCTTTTCTTTCCTCTCCTCTCCTCTCCTCTCTTTTTTAGTTGTTTTTGAAGATAGGGTGTCCCTATGTAGCCCAGACCTCTCTCAAACTCACAATCCCCCTGCGTCAGCCTCCCTAGTGTTGGGTAGCACATGCCACCATTTGCAGCTATGCGCCTTCCTTTCTTTCTCATTTCCCAGTCACTGCAAATGGTGGTAAATTACATTAAATAAGGTGAGCTATTTCCAGCATTATACCTCAAAATATTTGGCATTCTTTTTTGTTAATTTTTACATTAAAAGAGACACCTAAAATAGAATGATTTATACCAATAATTGTTTTGACACTGAAAGGCAAACTATTAAAATGCTAAAAAGAACATAAAAGATATATCTATCTGCATGATTTCTGTGGAGGATGTAGATATCTGAGACACACAATGCCAACAGTTTATCAAAAGAATACAAGGCATATTGCTTAGTTCAAACCTATCAATCAGTTCTTAAATCAGAACACCAAGTGCCAATACTTTGGAGTGTACTCCAAACAGCCACTCCAAAGGTTAATTGGCTCTGACACGAAGAAGTAAAACTTTATCACAGAATGTTCGGCATAAACTGCGTATTAAATACTAACATGAGTAAGAATTGTTAGTATACAACCTTCTGAAGCAGAAGACAAAAGCATGTTCACAAAAGAATAGGTCATCTACCTTTCTTAAATGTATTTGAATAGCTTCCCTTAAACAGAAATCAGATTCATAAAATCTCTTCTAACAGCTACTATAGAAACCATTAAGAAAGCGTGTATCTTAATTGTACACAATTTGCTGTCAACCAATTATCAAAAACGTCAAATTCTCGTGTTCTACACATACATGTGTTATATACACGGACCTGTACATGTGCATGTAAGTCTAGCAAAGCCGCTGGTCTAGAGGGGATTTATGAAAGAAATCAGGCCAAATAATCTATTTCTCTATTCTGACATCTATGAGACATTGACTATCAGAGCACAATGAATTATTAGTGTTTTCTGATGATCTCTCATATGTACAAAATCAATTATGAATTTTCAAGGTTTTGTGGAAGTTTCATGTCACAAAAATTATAGTAAACACACCTTTTGTACTTTTTCCTATTTCCTTCACACTTTGCACTTCAGCTTGGAGCCTTACACTTGGAGCCTCTGTTCTATGACTCATTTGAGAGGGTGTCTTTGTCCTACCAAAACTTTATTGCTCTCTACTGTGAGCCATTGATGACCATTCACTACACGAGTTCATTTTCCCCAGACACAAGCATAAGAAAATGGTCATGGCAGGCCTACTGATGCTGGCATTTTATTGTTGTTACTTGTTTGTTTGTTTTGGCTTTCTGAGACAGGGTCTTGCTATGTCACCCATGCTATGTAACTCAGCCTGGTCTTGAACTCTCATTCCTCCTGCCTCAGCCTTCCAAGTGCTGGGATATATGCACATGTTACCAGGCCCAATTCATCCTGATATTTAAAAAAGTAATTCAAAGATTTAAAATCATACCTATTTTGATCTTGATATATAATTGTTTAGCAACAAAATTACATCCTTAGGTTCTTCTGGCTTTAAAATTGTTGTTTTAAAATGATTTTTTCCTTTTCATTTCAGGCTACAAATTCTTAGTTTTTTCATAGGTTTATAATCCCATAGTGATTTTGTCATCTTAAAACTTCTATTTTTATCAATTCAAAAACATACTTTTAAGAAAATTTGCCTATATCATGTAATACATAAAGCTATTTAATTTTGCTACTTTCATATTTAATAAAAGATAGATAAGAAACATAATATGAAATTTTAGAATGGATTATATATTTAAAGGAAGAGATTAAGTATTATTAATAGATTTATATTTAAAAGATATAAAATGTACTACAAGAAATAATAAAGCACTTCCAAAAGGGAAAAAATGGAAAATTGGTAAGTTAGAAAGCGTGAAATGCCACATTTGATTTAAGTACTTTTAAAAGGAAAAGAGAAAAGAGATGACAAGTTTGGAAACACATTCAAGGTTAGGCCTAGAATTTTGGCTGTGACATTGTCAAGAGTAAATAATAAAAATTCCTAACTGTGAAGACTGATTCCAACTTTAATTTGCCTCATTTAAAATGAAACACTTTACCAAGACACAAATCTTTTTAGTATTAAATAATTTCTCTTTTTTTGTCACTAATATTTAAGAAATGAGACAAGGGCTGGGAGTGGTGGTATGCCACCACTTAGGCGGCCACTTAGGAGGTGGAGGTAGTGGAAACATAGTCTGAGGCCAGACAACAAAATCCAAAGAACCTACCTGAAAAACAAACTAAAAGCAAAAAGAGTGGGGCATGGCTCAAATGGTAGAGTACTTGCCTAGCAAATACAAAGCCCAAATTCAATCTCTTGTAATACCCTAGCCCCCTCCCCAAATAAAAAAGAGACAGTATCAGATATAAGTGGTCACAGAAGACTTAATAGTCAAATCAAACTTACGTCTCTAAGTTGTCACCTTCCAGAACTGTCTGGACAGGCAGGTAGCCAAGCCGAGGATGTTTGGCAAAGTATTTCTTTGACCTGAACTTGTTCTTCAGTACCTTTGTGAAGTCCCGCACATCTTCCCCAGATGTTGTCTATAATGTTGAGAAAATTACAGTTCTCGTTAAAATCAAAGGAGATAACCACACACTAAAATAAGAACAGATGTAAGCTGATGTAATTAAATGCCAACCATTTTAGGTAGTTGCATGCATTTTTTTGGAATAACATCCAGCGTAATGGACACATATGGCAATTGAGACTCATCATTAAATACATCCAGTGATTAGTTTATCATTTTTATTTTCTTTGGAAAATAAACCCGAACTAGTTCATTTCCCCAATATTTCCAAATTTGAGCCAAGAAGGAAAAGTATTTTTAGAAATGTAACTGGTTGATTCTTACCACTAAAACAAATTGCTGTTAAAAATATAGTGATGCTGAAATATTCTGGATATTATATGATTTTTAACCAGGTTGGAAAATTGAGGTTACTGTGTAGTGCATACTGGCCCTCTCCCCACAAGCCAGCACACATTCTAGTCTGGAAGAAAGAGAAAGAAATATGCAAAACAGAAAGTGAAGAGCCACAGTGGGGCTCCAATTTCTTTGTGATTTCCTAACGATGTAGGCATACAATTATTTTGCCAGGACTAAATATTTATAATGGTGATATACAATGTTACTGCTTTCTTAAAGATTTCAAGATGATCAGTTTGAATAATCATTTAGGGTAAGAGGTTCTAAAACTACCCCAAACCCACCTTACTCTATTTCTGTGAACTGTTCTCTAAGCCCCATCTTTTCTACCTTTGTCATTCTAGTGTTTATTTGCAACACAGACACAAACATTAGTCCTTCTGAAGACAGATTTAAATATTTCTATTATCTGTATACAACTGAATTAAGATCTTGATCTTCGGCCTTCTAGTTTGCTGCCCAACCACTCACAGAATAAACCTCACTCCCATCTTTACAAAGAGAGAATTTTTCTTCAGTAAAATAACCTGAGTGATAAATGAATTCATTTACTTTGTTGTCTGCTCCCTATCCCCATTCTCTCTTTTCCCTCATGACAAGCATGCCAAGGACTCATACAAACTTGTTTTGCAAGTAGAAACTTTAAAAAATATAATTATTTTTTAAAATAACTAACTTCTGAGTCAACTATAGTTTGGCTAATTTCTGTCTTCTCCCTTTCCACCTACATATGTTTGCTTCTAGAAACATTAAGGGGAACTTTTGATTCTATTATAGGCATGCAAAGCAGAAAAGAGGTATGAATAACCCCAAGCTAGCTATATGTCTAGTGATTTATAAACTAAAATTCATCAATTTTCATATTATTAAAACAAATATTTCTAGTAAAGACAGCCCATGCTATCATTACACCTTGCCAGCAACATCAAAGCTTTTTCTGAATAACTGAAAATAAACTATAATGATCAGAAGTTATACAGACATAGGTCATCCCAAATGTGACTCAGAGTGCAGGGTAAAAGCTGTTAATGAAAAGAAAAAAAGTTAGTGTAACTGTGGAGGAACAGGGCTGCTATGAAAGATAGTGGTCTGTGGGCAGTAAGACCTTCTCAGACAGAATAGGAGAAATCAGCAGAATAAAGTGAAAGTAAAGAAGGAGACTTTCAGAGAAGAAATACCTGGGACTGGGAATGAAGCCAGAAGGATATATCATCAACACAGGGGACATTCACTGTTTGCAATGGGTACCACACTACAGGTAAGTAATTCCTGGATGTGTTTCTCCTGCGTGTCTTGTAAAGAGGGAAAAGGGAAGAAACTTTCTATAACAGCAATGTAAAGAGAAGACCCTTGTGTAAGGAAAAGCATGTACGACCCATTATTTCTGGGTCTGCTCTTCACACAGTGTTAGGAGAGAAATACTTAATGAGGCAGTGTACGCCAGCCTTTACTTGGGCTGTCTCCATGCCTGGCAATGGCAATGTTTTCATCTTTTAGGCCAGTGGTTTTCAAGTCATATCTAGCCCTGAGTTTGGTGGGTGAGAACAGAGGCCAAGTGGGCAAGGAACCAAGCTCCTCGCCCAGTCTGCCTTTGTTAGGGCAGTGGCATTGTACAATTTGGTGGTTATTAGCATATTCGCACAATCAAAGTGCTATCATCACCACCTAATTAAGGAACAACTGCACCACCCCCAAAAGAAACTCTAAACCCACTACCCACCTCCCAACCTCTATCAAGCATTAATTTCTTTTCTGTCCATATGAATTTGCTTATTCTGGGTATTTCATAGAAATAGATTAATATAATATGTGGTCTTTCATGGCTAGCTTCTTTCACTTAGCATAATATTGTTTGTCTATGCTTATCTATATTTGGATTCATACATAACTCTTGACAAATCACTTAAAATTGCAAGTCTAATTTCACATCATCCATTCTTTAGATAAATATACTTAAGGACATGGAAGAGCAAAGTAAAACTAACCATCAAATTAAAAAAATTGATTCTTCTCTACCCTGCTCCCACCACACACACACACACACACACACCCCATTTCCCAAAAAGTTAAAGAGACTGAAATTAAATTGTTTCTAATAATTTTCATATGTATATATTTTTAAATTAGTGTGTTTTCACACAGAAACAGCACATTTTTATTTCCTCAACAATTTTTTATGTTGAGGGAGAAAACTACCAAAATTTGTAATCTACAGGGCATGAATTCCTTGGTGCTATAAACTTTATGCAATACTAAAAGAAAATGTGAAAGTAGCTCATCCCACAGCAACTAGAGATTACATTCAGGTTAGAAGAATTAAATTCTTTAGTTGGAATAGAGCCAAGAAAATGAATTCAGCCTCCTTTTGTACCAAAATTGTTAAAATATTTATGCACACTTGGTCTAATTTGCTATTTAATGACAATAAATAATAGTTCCCCATTTTATAGTGCTAATGCAATAGTTTGGCTAAAAAAAGAAAGAGAGAAAGAGAAAGTATACCACCCATCAAACATAATGAACAAATCCAATTCAACTCTACCTTACATTAGACATAATACTTTGTTCATCTTTTTTTAAAGCAAGTAACTAACACTATTATAATGGGAAGATGAAACTGACAGGAACACATGACCACACAAAACTATCCACTATATTAAATGGCACATAAATTTCGGTGAAGATTAGGTTTTTGCTTACTGCTGTAAGAGGAGAAGGCAGGGGAGAAGGGTGTACAGATTCCATTAGAGAAATGAGGGAAAGGGAGCACTGGACCTTGAGCCTCTGAATCATTTTCTAACCATGACAGCCTACAAGGAGAGTGTCATCAGGTTTCTTTCTCTCTTTCTTTTTTATCTGTAAAGAAACGAAAACTAAGCCTTCCAAGCACTTCAATCATGTTCAGTAAGCAAGAAGCTCCTCTGGCAAAATGGCCTTTCCATCCTATAAGCACTCTGTCACTTCTAGAAAAATGGAAACATTTTCAGTTTTGAAGAACCCATAGTCCTTGACTAAAAGATCTATTACTACATTCTGAATTCTCCCTTCATTTTAAAGTACTGTGAAGATGCCATGTGGCTGAAATTTTAAAATTTTATGTTGAGATGTCATTTCATAAATTTAAATTGCTTGTATAAGATGTGTCCATTGTAAGAACTATTAGAAAGAATATACAAATAAAGTAGCTAAAGGAAGAAATGAAAACTGCCAGCTGTTCAGCCATCTAGAGACAGACATTTTTAAAGTTTTGGTTATTGGACTGATTTACATTATAATCTTTCTTATTATGAAATAAAACAGAGACTTAGACAGTAAGTGTATGGCTTCATGAATTATTATAAGGTGACACCATCCACGGTCAGGATATGGAGCATGGATGGATGTTCTAGAAGCCCTTTCCATTCACAACAGACTTCTCTGTCCTGTATTAATCATTATCATAATTTTTAAAAACAACAATAACATTTTTATATTTTAAAAAGTTTTATTATTCCAATGTTTATCCATAAATACTGTGGTTTGGTCTTCTTCATTCAAAAAAAATCTGATACAGCTTAACCTACTAACTGTTTTTAACCTACAGATTTCTCATCTGTATCTGCCATTTCTTTAAAATTTATCAGTTGGAAAACACAGACAATTTGCCATACAGAGCATCTGAAGTTTGGATTTTGCACAATGCATGTTGTTGGTGCAATCTGGCTCCCCTCTCCTCTCGTTACCCTGAAATTGGCAGCTGGATCCAGAGAATGCATCAAACTTAGGTTTGATCTTTTGGCAAGAAATTGGTGGTGGATAGGATTGCAGGATTACAGGCACACAATATCTGGCCATCTCTCTTTTGGGATCTCAGTAGGTTTTTGTACCGCATGCCTACCTCCATTCACTGGGGGCTGCAAAATTGTGATATTCTACTAACCAGTTTCTTCATTTATTAGTTGACATAATTTTATAAAGAAACATTTTTACATCTACTATTTAGCTACTCAGTGGGACACTTCATTTATGAAATGTGGGATAATAATTTAATTCTCTTTCCTTTATTGAGCAATTTTCAACATCAAAAACCATCTTCCAAAGACAGCCAATTCCTTTTTGCTTTTAATTATGAACTCATAGATTCTACCATATTGGATGTGTTTCAATTATTGGAATTATTATCATTCCTGAGGCTCAAATGGTCCCATCTTTGGGTAGTAGAAACCTCTTTCATTTGGCTCCTGTTAGCATGGCTCTACTAGTCTTACAGAGTGTTCTTCCTAGCTGCTACTAAAAGATATTCTCGGCTCACGCTTGTCATTTCTAGGCCTTTATAGTGGACAGAGGTGGGAAACATGCATTTAAAGGTGAAATTCCTTCTTCATGAGGTGACACTGACTCATTTGATTTGTACTTCCTATGGCAGGGCTTTGACTTAACCTCTTCTCTATTACACATCCACCTCCTTTGTGCCATAAATAGAATCCCAGTAGCACTAAACAACTGATTTCTTGGTTTGTTTTTTCATATTATATAAACATTAGTCTCAGAATACTAACATCAACATGTTTACTGGAAACACTGAAGTATAGATTTACTTTTGCATTCTTCTCCCATTTGTAAAGTAATTACACT